GGGGGGGCAATATAATGGTACTATGTATATGCAACCCACATTGCAACGAACACAAGGTAGTCGGATAACTAAGTTAGATACGGCGTTCCACACCTGAATGCTCTCCTCTGTTCCGATGGATGCATGCATGCATTAATATCAATCGTTAACGACCCCAGCAGGCGTCCACCATAATTTCATCGTAATACCTTCATATTTCTAACACGAATTCATCATAATGTCATCACATTTTCATCACGACTCCAACATGATATCCAACACGAAGTCCTGTGATAAATTGTTGACAAACACAGTATCAACAGATTATCAACAGTTTACCAACACAGACTTCAACAACTGAACTGTTGATCAACATAGTATAAACAGATTGTCAACAATTGTTCAACACAAAGTTCAATTGTTTAACCTGTCACTTCAGGTGGACTATATAACTCACAAACATTGGTTTTCATCACTTTCTGGGCATGTGCCAGGATAAACAGTTGATAAACAATTTTTAAACAGTTTAAAGGAGGGAAGGCCCCACGATCAACAAAAAAATAAAACCCCGACATTGCCGACAATTTTTCTGTTGAAACTATACGCCGGATGCATGACGTCCTGTACGTGGTGCGCACTCTCCCAAAACAAGTCGGACAACACAAGCTGTCGAACGGGACGCTCATCCTGGGCTGCCTTCCCCTTCCATGGTGTGGACTGCCATCTCACGCTGCCTACGATGAACCTCAATATGCGCTCCTGATCGGTGAGGCGCTCAACCATCTCGTATGCTGACCCGAACCGTGTGTCACATGGTCGGATCAACTCCAGCTGCCCCCGCTCCTTAAAGGACCGATGATACGTGAGGGCTTTCTGAAGGTTCTTGAAGAACATCACAACCTTGTGTGTGTTCTTCAAGATGGGCCGCACCCACTCAAAGCATGTGATGTCTCGCAGTAGGAGACTCAAGCAATGGGCCGCACATGGGAGTCAAGGGATCTGGGAGATGCTACTGTCTGGATGATCCTGCAACCGCTGTGCAGCCACCTTATTGGCGTAAGCATTATTAGTGCAATACGTATTGACAACGTCGACACCAATATCTCGGATCACCTTCTCCCACAAATCTGCCAGTGCCACACCAGTCTTGTCCCTCTCCGACATGTCGACGGTAGTGATCAAGACTGGCCTGTCCTCGCCCGCTGCGATGAAGTTGACGACGGGCTTGTACGACCTCGTCATAGCCCCATCCGTCATCATGGTACAGCCCGAGAGCTTCCATTTCGCCTTCTTTGGTGCGACTCTCTTTGCGATCTCGTGGTAGATCTCATCGAGGAGCCGTGTGCGCATATCATTGTACGAGGGCAAGACCAAAGGTGGTCCAATCGTCACCCTCATCAATGACACCATACAGTCGTGCAGTTCCTGCGTGGTTTCTAGGCGCATAAAAGAGAAAGGTACCCCCGCCCTAAACAACGCTCTCGCCCACAACCTCTCATACTGCTGCTGTAACCCCCCACTGGCCCAACTATCCAACCTCGTCTGCAGCATGCGACGATAATGGAGCACGACAACGCTCGACGGCCCAGATGTGCCCTCTGTCCTAACCCACGCCATGTCGACCCTCCACCTCGAACACTGTCGTAAGCTGCGCTGCGCCTGGGTCGACCCTCGCCCCGCTTCGAAGACTCGTATCCTCTCTCTAAGCATAGTCACCTCGTCCTCTGCGGGCAAACCACTAGTCCGTCCCTCATCCGTCATGGTTGCATTCGCCCCTTGCGCTCCCGACTTGTTACCGTGGCTAGCATCCCGGTCATCTGCCATGCGTGCAGCGGAAGCAACCGCCTCATCGGCCCTCCACAGGTCCTCAATCTCCAGCTCCTCCTCACGGACGTCCATGTGCCTCTCTGCCATCGACCTCCCCAAAGGGTCTGTGATGGTGGCCCTGTCTCTCATTAACTTGTACAGGATCTCTCCTGTACGGAATCTACAATGCGCAGCTGGGCGGGTGAAGTGGTCCTCTGCCTTCGTCCGCGGGCCAACCCAAACGTGGTTGCACAATGTGCAACACAACTTGTACTGCCCCTTTCCTCGCACTCCCACCTCTTGCCCCTAACGCACTCATTCCCACACTGCATGCTTCCCTTGCAGGTACCACTGCCGACTCTCATCGACCTCCTGGAAGGGCGCATCCCCATCTGGGAGGCTGGTGTACCTCCCTCGTGTTCCGGGGCGCGACATCACGCAACCACCTCTCTCTCTCTCTCTCCCCCTCTAACAATTCATATCTCTCTCTCTCTTTACACATTTATTCGAGTACGAAGTCCACATTAGTTCTCCCGATTACCTGCAAAATACGGAGGAAATATCGTAGATCTGTTGGTCGTTTGAGTGAATGATAAAAGGATTGATTGATTCAATGTTTGATTGATTGGGTGATGAATTGATTGACTGATTCATTGGATAACCGACTAATTGATTGATAGATTGATTGATTGATCAAACGATTGGCTGCTCGATTGAGGGAATGAATGATTGATTGATTGGTTGATTGTCTAATTGGTCGATTGATTTATTCTTTCATTGACTGATCGATCAATCAATCAATCAAACAATCAGTCAACACCAAAGTCTGACGGATTGAATGATTGATTGAATGATTATGAGATTGATTGATTGATTGATTGATTGGTTGATTGGTTGATTCCACTTGATTGATTGATTGATTGATTGATTGATTGATTGATTGATTGATTGATTGATTGGTTGGTTGGTTGATTGATTGATTGATAGATTGATTGATTAATTGATTGATTGATCGGTTGGTTGATTGATTGATTGATTGATTGATTGTTTTTTTTTGTTGATTGGTTGGTTGATTGATTGATTGATTGATTGATCAAACGATTGGCTGCTCGATTGAAGGAATGGTTGATTGATTGATTGCTTGCTTAATTGATTGATTTATTATTTCATTGACTGGTCAATCAATCAATCAATCAAACAACCAGTTAACACACGCTACAACTAAACCAACTATGGCCGCCGTGGCAGCCAGCTACTACTAACTATGGCACACTATCTTCTTTGCAACCCACTTCAACCACGGGCAATTGCAGACCTCCTCACACAAGACGCTGTGGCAGCGCTGCCGCATGTGGTTGGACGCTGCCTCTTGATTTATACTTCTGTTCGTTGTTGGTTTGCCCTTTTTCACCTTCTGCCCCTGGTGCACACAGTCCCACATGGTACTTGTAGACTGGACTAAGTGACACTGGGACTGGGTACCGCTGACTCAGCAAGGGTGGTCTTCACCACTTGCCCACTTGCCTCTAGTCTGCTGTGAGCAACGTTTGAAGGGCCACTTCCGGACCTTTCGGAAGTCTGTGGACTTGGCCTTTCGACACTGTAGCAGCTACGACCTTGACCTTTCAGGACTGTAGCAGCTACGACCTTGACCCTTTAAAACTACTACAGCTACGACCTCTACAACAGACTTAACCCGTACTCGACAGAAATAAAGTTTAAGACCCGATGACTACAATGGCCTACGGCAGACAACAACTGACTCCTAAGACACATGTTGCGGGTACAAACACACATGGGTACTGTACACAGGTGAGTCAGGAAACCAAGGTCAAGGGATTCGGGCCCGGGATCTGCATCCGCTACTGCAAAGGTGAAAACCGTTTCAGATTGATTGATTATGGGATTGATTGATTGATTGATTGATTGATTGATTGATTGATTGGTTGGTTGGTTGGTTGGTTGGTTGGTTGATTGGTTGATTGATTGATTGGTTGATTGATTGATTGATTGATTGGTTGGTTGATTGATTGATTGATTGATTGATTGATTGATTGATTGATTGATTGATTGATTGGTGGATTGATTGATTGGTTGATTGGTTGATTGATTGATTGATTGATCAATCAATCAATCAATCAAACAAACAGTCAACACCGAAGTCCGACGGATTGAATGGTTGATTGATTGATTGTGGGATTGATTGGTTGGTTGGTTGATTGATTGATTGATTGATTGATTGATTGATTGATTAAAATAAAAGAAAGGTCCAGGGGCTGGGCGGCGGGTGAGGGGGTTCAAGGCGAGACTGCATGCATCCCGCTCCCCTCACTCGGTGCCCTCCCCCCATGACACCCCTTCTGCCTCCTCCTCCTCCTTGTCCCCCTCCTCCCTCCTCCTCTCCCACTCCTGCTCCTCCCTCTCCTCCTCGTCGTCCTCCACCTTTTCTTTGTTGTCATACCTCCAGTCGCCCTCCTCCTCTTCTTCGCCTCCGTCGTCCTCCTCTGCCTCTTCTTCCTCCTCCCCCCCTCGTCATCCTCGTTCTCTCACTCCTCCTCTTCTTCGTCCTCCTCGTCGTCATCCTCCTCCACCTCCTCCTCCTCCTCCTCCTTGTCCTCCTCGCCGACATCGGCCCTTTCCTCCTCGTCTTCCTCCTCTTCCTCCTCCTCCTCCTTGGCCCTTTCCTTTTCCCAGCCGGCGCCCTCCTCCCCTAACCCCTTTCTCACCTCCTCCTCCCTGTCCACCTCTTCCCTCCTCCTCTCCTACTCCTCCTCCTCCCTCTCCTCCTCTGCCTTCGTCCACGCCTCTTCTTTGTCCTCTTCCTCCTCCCTGCCCATCTCCTCCGCCCTCCTCTCCTACTGCTCCTCCGTCCCCTTCTCATCCTCCTCCGCTGAATAAATTTGCACATTTGTATACCAACAAAGTGACCCACTATTTTTTGTTTTTCAATCAATCAATCAATCAATCAATTGAAAAAAAAACGAAAAAGAAAGTATCCAATCGAACAAATCGATTCGATTGGATCTTGATTTTGAAATCAAGATCCAATCGAATCGATTTGTTTAGATTGGATACTTTCTTTTTCGTATTCTTTTTTCGATTGATTGATTGATTGATTGATTGATTGATTGATTGATTGATTGATTGATTGATTAAAAAAAAAAAAAAAACGGTCGGGGGGCTGGGCAGAAGATGAGGCCCATCATGAGGGTGGTTGAGGCAAAACTGCCTGCCTCCCGCTACCCTCACTCAGCGCCCTTCTCACCTGACCCCCCTTTCACGGTCTACTCCTCTTTGTCCACCTCCTCCCTCCTCCTTCCTTACTCCTCCTCCTCCTTCTCCTCCCTCTCCTCCCTCTCCTCCTAGTCCTCCTCCACCTCTTCTTCCTCCTCCTCCCCCTCGTCATCCTTGTTCTCTAACTCCTCCTCTTCTTCGTCCTCCTCGTCGTCATCCTCCTCCTCGTCGTCATCCTCCTCCTCGTCGTCATCCTCCTCCTCCTCCTCCCCCTCCTCCCCCTTCTCTTACTCCTCTTCCGCATCGGCCCTTTCCTCCTCGTCTTCCTCGTCTTCCTCCTCTTCCTCCTCCTCCTCCTTGGCCCTTTCCTTCTCCCAGTCGGCGCCCTCCTCCCCAAACCCCTTTTTCGCCTCCTCCTCCCTGTCCGCCTCCTCCCTCCTCCTCTCCAACTCCCCCTCCTCCCTCTCCTAGTCCACCTCCTCCTCCCTCTCCTCCTCGTCCTCCTCCGCCTCTCCTTTATCCTCTTCCTCCTCCCTTCCCACCTCCTCCCCCCTCCTCTCCTACTGCTCCTCCCTCTCCTCCTCATCCTCCTCTGCTGAATGAATTTTCACGTTTGTATACCAACGAAGTGACCCACTACTTTTTTTTTTTTANAAAAAAAAAAAAGTATCCAATCGAACAAATCAATTCGATTGGATACTTTTTTTTTCGTTTTTTTTATTTATTTATTGATTGATTGATTGATTGAGTGATTAAAAAAAAAAAAACGGTCGGGGAGCTGGGCAGCAAATGAGGGTTGTCGAGGCGAAACTGCCTGCCTCCCCTTACCCTTACTCAACGCCCTCCTCCCTTGACCCCCCTTTTACCGTCTCCTCCTCTTTGCCCACCTTCTCCCTCCTCCTCCCTCCTCCTCCCTACTCCTCCTCCCTCTCCTCCTAGTCGTCCTCCGCCTCTTCTTCCTCCTCCTCCCCCTAGTCATCTTCGTTCTCTCACTCCTTTTCCTCCTCTTCTTTGTCCTCCTCGTCGTTATCCTCCTCCTCCTCCTCCTCCTCCTCCTCTTACTCGTCGTCGGCATCGTCCTTTTTCTCCTCGTCTTCCTCCTCTTCCTCCTCCTCCTCCTTGGCCCTTTCCATCTCCCAGTCGGCGCCCTCCTCCCCTAACCCCTTTTTCGCCGCCTCCTCCCTGTCCGCCTCCTCCCTCCTCCTTTCCTACTCCTCCTCCTCCCTCTCCTCCTCGTCCTCCTCGGCCTCTTCTTTGTCCTCTTCCTCCTCTCTGCCCACCTCCTCCCCCCTCCTCTCCTACTGCTCCTCCCTCTCCTCCTCGTCCTCCTCCGTTGAATGAATTTGCACGTTTGTATACCAACGAAGTGACCCACTAATTTTATTTTCTTCATCTTTCAATCAATCAATCAATCAATCAATCAATAATAAATAAAAAAAAACGAAAAAGAAAGTATCAAATCGAACAAATCTATTCGATTGGATCTAGATTTTGAAATCAAGATCCCATCGAATCGATTTGTTCGATTTGATACTTTCTTTTATGTTTTTTTTTTTTGATGATTGATTGATTGATTGATTGATTGATTGATTGATTGATTGATTGATTGATCCAATCGAACAAATCGATTCGATTGGATCTTGATTTTGAAATCAAGATCCAATCGAATCGATTTGTTTAATTGATGTACTTTTTTTTTATTTTTTATTTTTTTTTAATGATTGATTGATTGATTGATTGATTGACTTAAAAAAAAAAAAAAAGGGATCAATCAATCAAAAAAAAAAAAAAAAAAAAGTTATCTAGTCGGATCGATTGATTCATCTTGATCTGCGTAGCACGGTGAACGTGTTCGCGCCCCTTCATGTTCGCACGAACGTGTTCGCGCCCCTTCATGTTCGCGCGAACAACTCGCAGACATATTTGTTTTCAGAAAAAAAAAAAAAAAAAAATGTTTTTGGTTTTTGATTTTTAACTCATGATTGGTTACGAATTTGAACATAACTCCAAGGCAAAAGTTGCTTGTATTGTTATTTTACATAACATATATT